AAAAAAAGAGAAGAGAATTTAACAAAAAAAGTTAATAAATATGAAAATAAATGTGTCAAATAGAAAACCCCAAACAAAAATCATGCCCATGTCGTTTGAAACACAAAACTAAACCAAAAAAACAAAAAAAAAACAACAAAAAACCCACTTGAAAACAACAACAACAACAACAACAACAACGCGAAGAAGAACAATAACAACAACGGGTTAAAAAGAAAACCAAAACAACAATAACGAGAATGGAAGTGGCGAAATATTAGCAGTGTATCTGAATTCGTTGGTGAAACCGCCTTTGGGAGAGTGCACGACATCACTGTCACAGACGTACGGTGGTGCACTCCGGTGGTGCACTGCGGTGCTGGTGCGCGCGGCCCGCGGTGCACGTGGAACAGCGATATACCGGATCAGGAAGTAAGGGAGGCTGTGACGTCACGAGGGGCGTCCGGAGACAAGCCAAGTCTGCGGCCACGTGTTGCTGTCACGTGGGAAGGTGCTGGACAGCCTGCACCAAGTCTGTGGAAGGAGAGAAAGAGAGAAACGAGAGGAAAAATAAGTAATATTATTTATAAACTTCCTATCACTGTGAACCCAAAGTGACCTGGAGACGCACAGTAGAGTCTGAAACGAAGTCCTGGAATCATTCATGAGGGACGTTGACCAAGATGGCCCAAAACAGACAGAAGTGGAGATCCTTTGTTGTTGCCCTAAAAGCCAGATGGCGTAACGGGTAGTAAGTAAGTAAGTATTAAGTATCACTGTGAACCAGTTGTTATTTAAAAAAAAATTATAATATTAGTAAGAAGTATTTTGGCACCACAGAATTAGGAAGTTCTATCAGATCAGTACCTATTTTTGAGAAAGTTGGCGTTAAGAAATTTGAGACAGCCTGTACCAGGTCTTCGAGCCTGTACCAGGTCTTTGAAAGGAGAGAAAGAGAGAAACGAGATGAAAAATTAAGTAATATTATTCATAAACTTCTTATCCCTGTGAGTCAGTGGTTATTTCTAAAAATTATAATATTAGTATGAAGTATTTTGGCATCCAAGAATTAGGAAGTTCTATCTGTTCAGTACCTAGTTTTGAGAAGAAAAAAAAATTGGTATTAAGATATTTGAGTTTCGCAACATGTCAAGCTTTTTCGAAAGCGATTCTTTGAAAACTTGAGAGAGACTCCGAATGTTGTTGCTGTTAATATGGTTGTTGCTGTCGCAGCTGTTTCTGCTGCTGCTGTTGATTTTGTTTTTGTTGCTGTTGCTGTTGCTGTTGTTGTTGTTGTTGTTGTTGTTGTTGTTGTTGTTGTTGTAAAAGTGGTTGTTTTAGGTCTAGCTATTTTCCACCTACCTCTGTATTCTATATAATCTTTTCCGTCCTGCGTGGATCGAGCTATGAGCTCTTCCGCTTCTTCTACTGTCATGCGCTCTCCCATCGTCGTCATAAAATGCCGGAAGTCAGAAACTGTAATACGACCACTTCCAGTTTTGTCCAGTACCTTGTGAAAGTAATGATAAATCAGTTTCAACGTCCCTCGTGACTCATTGGAGCAGAGGAAGATAGGAATAACCCTAACATAACTTAAACACACTCCCACACCATCACTCATCCCCACCATTATTTATAAAATTATCATTGCTCTCAGATCTCAGACTAACATCTTTTATTCCTTGAACCTCTATCTGTAACAGTTACATGTCATAGTTAGTATGCACGTAGCACACTATTGGACACTGTCTTGAATGCCCTTTTTCTACTAATCAGATGGCGCCAATCTCATATAAAAGGGTAAGGGGGAAATAAAGATAAATTAGTTTCAACTACATAGTGCATACTATTTTAGGACAGTGAGTTATTACCGGCGACACTGGTTTGATTTCAGAAACGGGAGTTTCTGAATTTGGATTGTTTGGGGCTGTTTTTAACCGAAGAAAGGCGTTAAAACAAAAAATACCCCTTATCATCATCATCATCATCATCCAGTGCCAGATCTGTGACAGACATTGACGATCATGGTTCTCCGTTCATTCCTTTTGCTCGGATGCTCTAAAAAAAGCT